ACACAGCTAGAAAATACTAGAGCCAGGACTTGAATTCCTAGGTCCTCCCTAGACTCTATAAAGACAACTCGTCAACTTTTACTTCCCTTGGGATTGGAATAACCAGGGGAAACATGAAATTACAGCACTCAGCTAAAAGAAAGGCAGAATTATCTTAGTAAAGGGGAAGGAATCCAGGGAAGAAAATGAAGAAAGAAGTGCCAAACAAAAGCAGAGTTGTTTGTTGAGCAGTTATATTGAGGAAATTAAAAAGAGCAGTAGGAGGTGTAAGGACAACTCAGTGATGGAGGCGGGAACAAGAGCAGGGGGACGGTAGGGAAGGATTAAGGCCCAAGAAGATTCTAGAATTGGGAATCAAAGGACTCTGGTCCTGGAGAGCGGTGGACCCCGTCTCCAGCCTGGAGCAAGGGGGCGGGGCCTCGAACCTCTCTCTCCGCCCACCCCGCCCAGGGCCCGCCTCGCGCCGCGCCGCCCCCGCCCTCCCCCAGGTCTCTTAGGTGATGCTGCAGCCAAGATGGCGTCGGCGGCGGTCACGGCGGCTTAAGCGTGATGCTTCGGGTCCTCGGTGGCGGCGGCGGCGGCGGCAGCGGCAGCGGCGGCCTTGGCCGCGGCCTGGCGTCTCTCCCGTGCGTGAGCGCTCAGGCGCCTGTCCTCCGGCCGGGTTAGCCCGGACAGAGCGGAGACGGCCACGGAGACAGGAGGCGGTGAGGAACAGAGCGAAAGCGCGGCGCCTCCCGCCTGGGCACCATGGCTGGGATCATCAAGAAGCAGATCCTGAAGCACCTCTCCAGGTCAGTGGGCGCCTGCAGCCTGGGGCCAGCCCGCCTCCGCCCTGGTCCACACTGGAGTCAGCCCGCGGCCTCGGGGGCGGCGGGGCCTGGCGGCGGCGCGGGAGGCGACCCTCGGGCTTCCCCGCCCGGCCGGGGCAGAGGTCGCGCCCGGGACCTGCCGTCGCCTGCGGCGCCCGGGGCGGCCTCACGAGTCCCTGGGGGCGTTCTCCCCCGGGCGGGCTTGCGGAGGAGCGCGCAGGGCGGCGAGCTGGGATCGCTCCCGACGCGGCGTCTGGGGGCGTCCCGGCGCGGAGGCTGGAGGTGGCCTGGCGTCGCCCAGTGCCTGGCTGATGCGGGAGCCTCCAGCCGGAGCTCCGGGCTCGCTCCCCTCGGAGCAGAGCGGCTCCGTTAACCGAGCGCGTTTGGCGCGGTGTGGACTCTGGGAGCCGAGGTCGCGGTGTCAGTGAAATGTCAACCTTGTTATTGTTCTGAGTCGCCACCACCTCGGCGTTCCCCTCTGATGCGTTGGAGGGTGTGCCTGTTTGCTCAGTTAGGATTTGTTCTAGGTAAATAACCAGAGTTCCCAGCTTTGGCAAGTTCTTTCTGGAGTCATTGCTGGCTCTCATCAGTCTTACTGGTTTTTGCTCTTTTTCATCTGAGACGCTCAAATTCAGAGACTTAACATCTGTGGTGATTAAAACCCAGGATATGTCATTCTTTCCATTTCATAACGCGGTTTTAGTCAGAAACATGACTCAGTAAAGCTGGCAGTTTGTTACTGCTCTTGGCTTCTCCATATTTGTCTTAAGACACAGGCTAAAAATGTAGGATCTTCTTCCAAGCTGTTAACCGAGAATTCAAAGCGCTGGGTTAGGATCCGTTTCTCCTCTTCTGTTATTTTTAAGTTAATGATTACTTTTAACTGATTTTAGAAAGAGACTCAGGTATAATGATAGACTTGTATAGTAACCATAATTCTTGATTCTCTAGCTTGTTTTATATCACAAGTTACCTATTGGGGAACAGAATCAATACTTAAGTGATTCAGCAAATATTTTCCTCACTTGTAACATTGAATAAGATACAACAGCTTCTTTTTAAAGTAGCAAATTGTAGCAGCGTTTATGAATATACATTTCTAAGTGATAACTCATTGGAAAGTTTCTTTTAAAACTGTACATGTGGTTCAATACTGAGCCATCTTATTTTGGAAGATTTTACCTCTCTGTTTATTATTAGGGTAAAGTCTGACTTTTGTGAATCAGATGGCCGCCAGCCTTTCTCATACCCAGTTCCACAAGAAAATTCAGATCTAAAAAAAATGTTTGGAATACTTATTTTCCCACTCTCCTCAGGATGATAGTAAATAGTACCACTCTAGATGACTAAAAGAAAAGTTAATTCAATCAATAAGTGTCTTTAATTCTTTTGTAGAATTTCGTTTGAGAAGGACTCTTAAACATCAGGAGAAAAGTTGTAATTGTGACATAGACAACACCCACACAGTCAAAATTGAGGCCTTAGGGTTACTTTTTAATCTGTATGGTTTCTAATGGCTCTGTGATTTATAGTAATGAGGATTTTTTTTCAGAGATGCATTTTTGAAACTGTTGAGTTTTCTGTTATTTCACATTTCAAAAATGTCCTTAATTCAGGTGACTGAAGAGTATCAAATTCTTATTTTTGGTCAGTGTATTAATCTTTGTGTTAATTGGTGTCATCTCCTAAGAAAAATGCAGTCATTCATAAACCTAAAGGCAATTCGTAATAGATGAAACAAGGTACATGTTGTGATAAATTATAGTTATTCAAGTAGGAATGAACTTTTGAAATTACCTGGGTCAAATTTAATTTTATAGATTATCCAATAATGAAGATGTTACTATATTGATCTAGTGGTCTGGAATACAATTTAATAAGGTTAATAGGAAACACTTAGAACATATCACTTTCTAATAGTTTACAACTCATGTGGGCTGTGTATGCAACCCATTGCACCTTCTCAAAGCAGGCCTTTCCTTACGAGACTTTAAAATTGTGAGCCCCTGTGCTTCCTGTCCCTCTTGCTTGCTTTATTTTCCTCCATAGCGCTCATCCTCATCTGTCATAATACGTGTTTCTTTGCTATTTCTCTCTCTACACTTTAATG